GGACATTAATTGAACGGACTTTATTTGAACGGACATTAAGATGAACGCTAGGGCCTCCAGCGTTCAAGTAATGTCCGTCCAAATAAGGTCCGATAAGGTATTCAGAGCCAGTTTGCAGTTTAGTCAAGCTATGTAACTGTAAGCAGAGGTCAGAGTCAGTTTAGTCAGGGCCAGTTTAGTCAAGCTATGTAAGCAGAGGTCAGAGTTAGTTTACCTTGGGGTGGATAACTCCTCCAGCCTAATCAATAAAGTTGAGTTGTTGAGGATATACCGTTGAATTGTAAAAACTATTTTAATCTCGATAAATTCCCGGAAACTAAATAAGCTGTAGATGAAGAAAAAAATGTTCATAAATTTTGAAATTTGAAGCACTTTTCACGGCAAGGTAAGCGTAGCATGACAGAGTGAAGACAAATTAGTGAAGACAAATTAGACAGTCTCAGTAATAACCACAGTTTGAACTCCTCTTCAGAGCTTTCCCTTTCTGTCCGACTCCACTACAAAGTGTCCTCGGCCTCGGATCTAAAAATCAAAATCCGTAATTTTACCTATCAAATTGTAGGGGGCTCGTGGTGTTAATCTTGGTAATGTCTCGGTGTTTGAAAATTCCACTAAGTCACTGATACGGTCGGTTTAGCAAATTCTTAAAATTTGAAATTCTAATGTAGTAATTTTGAGATGATACATGAAATTAGTGCTTCTCAGTTCTCTGCATAATAAAATGTGTTTGAAAAGAGTTGGATTCTATAATGATTGGCTAACTTATTAAGGTGTTAGACTCGTAATGCTTTAAATGAGGATCATCTATTTTCGGTTAAAAACCCCCACGAATCATTTACTTTTACCACTACATCACGTGATCACCTGAGACACGTGATCTCAGTACCCAGTGCGGACTGTTCTATTTGTGTCTACATGGTGATCTATCATAAGCCAGTCCTAGCTGCTTAGCTTACAAGTAATACTCTGTAATTTATCTGAGATCACTTCCTGACTGTTATCCATACTGAGAAGTTAATATTTCTTTAATTTAAGCCTTGATATTTAGGTTGAGTTTTACTTTTTGAATCTATTACTGAAAGCGTAGCCACCCAGCTGAAATGGGTCGAAGAAGCAAATCGAAGAAGATCCACTCGTCGGAGGTTGTTTATGACGCTAGTGAACACTACAGAACTTGATCAGATGGTCACGATCCAGGAAGCCAGCATGGAGAACTGCGGAGGGTTTGGCAACGTCGGACTTTTCTCCAGCTCTGGAGTGTACACTGTCACTCTGGGAGACGGACAGTGTGTAGAGATCAGGGAGAGTGATCTGAAACAGAGCAGTCGCAGGGCTGATAAATTCACTTGCATGTTCAACGGAATGAAACATAAGCTGAAACTAGCCCAGATCCAGCCTAGTGCTGCCTTCTCCCAGTCTGTTGAAGTGTCCGGAGATGTCTCTGGTGATATACTGAGAGTTAGGTCTGCTACTCCCGGTCATGGGGCTGCTTTGGTGGATTCCAATATCGATCAATTCCAGTCGATGTCAATTTCCACTCGACCGTCACCTGTCACTTTCTATCCTTACTACAAGATCAAGATTGGTGATTCCGTCAAGGTACTACCATTCCACATCGTGTCTGCTGGCAAAGCATCTCGAAGATTCTTCAGGTTTAGGTATGACGGTAAAACTATAACCATCAGAAAATCCCACATTCGTCCCGTTACCAAACAGTACAAGGTAATCTTGGACGGAAGGGTAACCGACATTGGATGTAATAACATTCAGCCATATGGAGATAATGCTTATCTCATTACCCATAATGGTGTTGAGAGAATCGTTGGTTCGGCCTCCGTGCACTCTGGTGTCCAGGATGGTGCTGAACTCATTACTGACGATGAGGATGGAATCCATAAGAAGCCTCTGTTCCCAAGTAAGAATCTGAATCGTGGATCCGCTGCAGAAGAGGACGATGCTACAGGACGCAGATTCGGGCTGATTAAAAGATATACCAAAACAAAGCGAGGCAAACGTGTAAGAAAGGTTCCAAGACGTAAGAAGAGTGGACGAAAAGACTTAAAGATTTATGATGTTAGCTTCTGTCTGTGCTACCAAATCATCCTTAATGGTGCCCACATCGTGATCCCTCAACACAGGATCAAACAGTCCAAGAGGCACAGTGGATATCTTAGATTCCGTTATAATAAGATGGTCTACTACATCACCCCCCAAACCATCACACAAGCTTTCTATGCTCCTGTGGTAGGATACTACAGTATTGTCATTGACGAGAAGGTTGTGGTTGTAAGTGGAAGAGAAATGGAGAAGCACTCTGAGAAAGAAGACACTTACATCATCAGATACAACAATGATACGTTTGAAGTTAGCTCCACAGCTATCAGCTTCTTGGGAGAATATGTGTTGGAGCCAGACAGAGAAACGCTAACTGACGAAGGTGAATCCACTCCGGTGTCTTCAGAAGAATCTGACACCTCTGACTCTGATGCATCTGTATCTGGCAGAGATGAGATTGTTGAGGATGCCAACATTTACACCACCAGGACCTTCATTATCAGGAGGAAAACCATAGCTACATGTTACAGGATCAGACTGAATGGTTCTGAGTTAGTCGTTCCGGTCAGTCAGGTCAGCAACTGCAAGACCAGACCTGGAATGCTCAGAATAACATACTACAACAAAACTTACTTCATCTCACAGGATGACATTGAGTTGCAATACGAGACTGAAGTCACTGGATTCTACTCGGTCACAGTCAACGGAAACCCGTTATTCTTACTGGAGATGATATTGAAGATAGCCCATCTGACGGCACATACATCTGCTACTACAAAAACTCCAAGTACGTCTTGGCTCAGACCCAAATCATGTACCTGGGAGATTATCCCGTTATCCAAGCTCCTAACTACGCGGAAACAGAGGTGGAGAGCTCCGAGGAGTCTGATGGACAGACTGGTCACGGTGATGACGATGTCTCCGAGGAAGAACCTCAGATGTGCATCTTTGTGAACGAGAAGCCCAACATGGACATGACTCTTCCAGAACCAACCCAAGGATCTGTGATGGGATGGAAGGTGTACATTGACGGAAGGTTCTATACAGTACCTGCTAACCGCTTGAAGCAGCTAAGGAACGCTCCTGGCTTCATGGAAATTATCGTCAACCGTAAGCTGTACCATGTCTCTATTGAGAACATCCAACCCATTATGTTGCCTACCGTGTACTTCATCACTATCCAGAACAGACCCATCTTGGTTCCTGCTAAGGATGTTCGAAGACACCCAACTGAAGAAGGATTTGTCATCGTTAAGTACCGTGGACAGGATTACGTTATAGCTGTCGGGGAACTGAAGCTGGCTGATGGAAGCTCTGTTAACTATGAAGATATCCCCATGGACCAGGAATACATCATAACAAGAACTACCAAAACAACAAAGCGAACAAGAAGAAAGAAGAGATCAGGCGACTTTGGAAGGTCATGCTCACCTCTCTGCGGCAAAGTCAATCTAGCATCTGGATCTGATACTGAAAGCCACGGAATTAACCCAGCTGGATTCTCCGCCATGGCCCAAATTGCTAACGGTATGGCACCTCAGGTGGCATTCTCTCACGGTGCAACCCATGTGGTCGCTCCTGGTGGCATTGTCATGGGACAAGGTGGATTCGGACATGCCATAGGTGGTCGTCCCGGTTCACCTGCTGGTCTGGCACATGTTGGATTGTCTCTAGACCAAGGATATGTTCATTCTGGAGGCTATGGAGGTTCGGGTGGACATGGTACTGGTATGTCAGGAGGTGGACATGGTGGTTCTGGTGTCACATTCGCCCCAGCCGGAGGGCATGGTACCATGGTTGGACTAACCCATGCTCAATCCGTAGGAGGATCTGGCCAAGCTCAAGCCGGAGGGCATGGTACCATGGTTGGACTAACCCATGCTCAATCCATAGGAGGGTCTGGCCAAGCTCAAGCCGGAGGAAATGGTACCATGGTTGGACTAACCCATGCTCAATCCATAGGAGGATCTGGCCAAGTGATAGCAGGCGGACAAGGCCTCATGATGGGTGGTCAGCACACAATACATGGCGGACAGCAAACAATGGTCGGAGGACAGCAAACTATTGTGGGTGGACAGCAGGGCATGATGCTCGGAGGTCACCAGACCATACATGGAGGATCCTCTAAGAAGAGTAAACATCATAGAAGCCATTCTTCCTCTTCTAGCAGTAGCAGCAACTAACTGACGATATGACAGATCAGAAGCTCATGATAAGGATTGTGATGACAAATTATAATAAAGACATTGAGATAAGCCAATTATTAACCAAATGAAGATGGGGATTTCGTTTGTAGAAAGTTGATATGAAAGAGCGATGTTTGATAATATATATGGGCTAGATTTTGATAGGTTAGAATGAGTAAGTGCTATAAAATAAAGATAATCAATTCGCACAGTTAATTTGATTTAGATGACAGTTTAAATAAACATTATCCGTGCTATGGTACGAATGAGATTAACAGAATGATGTGAATTTTTATTTAGTGTTGAACATCTACGATTGATCGTCTTACTTTCCTTCACGTCCCTCATAACCATGCTGCAAGCACTCCCATCTTGCCATATTCATTTATTAATAAAGCTCAAGACCACCGAGTGGGTAGTGGCCAGTGAACAATCTTCATTAGCTAACCAGATTGTTGGTATGCAGATCCATCTGAACAGTCAGCAGGGGTCTGCTTGACAACACCAGCTTACCAGATAGTCGCTAAGAAACGATCCAAGAGTTAGTTGCTAAGATACTGTCCGGTGTAATGCTGGACTAATAATGTCAGTTTATGAAGTCATATGATGAATGGTTGTAATGAAAGGTTTACCTAAAGGCAGAAATATCATGACGAGGATCTTATAGTCTTGTCATCTTATAATTACTAAAGCTTATAAGAAAACGATTTCTTGTAGCTTAAAAGTGAACTCACGTAAGAAAAGAAGAGATCAAATTATTATATTTGCAAGAAATTAATTAATTAGAGTTATCATATAATTAAAGTTTATTAAATAGACACAAATAATTCCAACAAATAACAAATATTAAACAAATAACGTGGAAAATTGTCCACCCGACAACAATGGGGTCAGATAAACAAAACAGCAAATATTTAACTGAAAGAACAGCTGGTGGTGACCTCCAGGCCGTCACATCTAACCCAGGAGGTCTGGACGCTATTGAGAAGTGTCAGTTGGTACTATCTGAGGAGGTCCCTAGCTTATACCAACTAACTCAGTCAGATACTTCTGCAGCAGAGGTGCTCCTTGGGGAGGTCTCCAGAGGTGCTCCTTGCAGCTGTATGTCTCGTTAGGGGAGGTCCAGCGCTTCAAGTGACCAACTCACTGAAACAGTCCTTCTCCGGGAAGATCTGTCAGCCAGGGGGTCCGGGCTCGAGTCGGGAGGTCTAGATGGAGGTCGGATAGCTTGAAGGTCTGGGTTTACATCTTAAGATCAGTCTTCTGATCTCACACTCTCATTGGTTTGGTCACAGTTAGATCAGAGGTCATCAATCTTTCCACTTGTAGGCTTCACTAGCAACTTGTTGGTTCATCCAATTCTGTTTGTTCACAACTTCTGGTATTTACACTTTTTGCAAGTCTAAGATGGAGTTGGTAGTGGTGTTGAAACAAAATGTTTCGATATGTTATAAAGATCAAACTGCAGTTTGAACTGAGTTGACATGGTCTGAGTAAGGTTCTTCTCCCTCCAGTAAAGCACATAGCGATCTTGAAGGATCTATCAGCCCTCCAACGTCAAAATGGGTTATCTGCCGAGAATATTATTGTAAGCAATTGAGTACATATTGACCATAGATTTAACTTGAGTGAGTTATTTAACAAGCTTCGCTGAATCCTTTATAGTATTTTAATTTCTGAAGCATTTAGAAAGGCTTTGAGAAGACCATAATTCATTTCAAAGCATCACGTACATTATACAATTTAAATTTATGCTATATATCTTATCGTTTGGCATGAGTATTTAACGACTTTACCTTTTCAAAAGACGGAGGGTTCATTGTGTTCATGAATTGGGAGCTGTACATGTAACTAGACTCGTACATTCCCCCAAGTGATGCCATGTTTGGATAACCGGTGTCAAAGTAGAACGGACCTGTAAAATAAGATATTGTTAGAAATCTGTCGTGGTAAATTATTCAGGGTAAAGGCTAATAGGGACAAAAGAAGTTTTTTGAGTTTTGATCCAGTTGTTTCTCATACCAAGTGCAGCGTGGATTGTTAAACTAAACTGTGCGACTTACTTGAATCTGTTTTGAAGGGTCTCGTTTCGAAAGGAACTAGTGGTTGTTGGTTGTCTGTCATCCAACATTGGCTATCATCCCGTTTCTCAACTGTCGCTACCTATCAACAAACTTCGGTTACTGACAAAGTTTGGATTTTTATTCTACAATTAGCGATATTTTCTTTTTTCCATTGTGGTAGTCAAGTAATCAAAGTCAGAATTCAAAGATTTTAAAGTAGTAAAACCTACTTTCTTGCTTACAGAGCACTCTTTCGTAGAATGGGCTTTGGAATGTTTTCTCAATGAAGATGGATCAGTGTAGCGCTTCAAACATCCAGGAACTTGACATGCGTACGGTTTCTGAAGCGGAATTAAATAAACTTAACTGCGACAATCATGGAATACGCAACCAAGTAGTTTGCTGAAACATTACAAGTGCTCATTAGTTTTCTTTTTACCATCGAAACGTCTTAACCATCAAACTACTTAAAGTTTTAATGGAAAGTCTCCAAATTATACATCAAGGATCTATCCACTCTACACATTCCATCTAACCCAGCCCAACTCACCAGAGGTAGGCAGAATATCTCAATTTTATCCTCTCGTGGGCTATCTTGGCCAACCCTCTAAAAAAAGAAAAAATCCCAACTCACCGTATCCTGATGAGTACGGAGATGTTTTGCTCTGTCGGAAGAGTTACTGAAGCTCTTTAAGCAGCCAGGTTGAGTACACAGATACGGACGCTCTCCCGTGTGGGACCTCAAGTGGATTTTCAGGTTCTCTAATCGGCTGAACGCTTTGGGGCACCCCATGTACTGAAACATTGTTACATTTAGAGATCTTGTTGGAATCTCTGCTGTATTTTAATCTGAAAGGAGGATAGTCATAAAGGTATTTCAAGCCATTGTGGGTTTAAGCAACCTAACATAACGTGATAAAATTCCTTGTTCTAATGTGAGATAATACGATAAATGACTTAATCGACTGGCCCTCATACCACCAGCGAGATTATCAATGCTTTCGGCTACTTTTTTACTACTTTTACTAATTGTCATCATCACGGATCACAAGCATTGTCCTGCGTCCAGGGACAACAGAGTTCCGATTATTTTCACACCCCGACTGATCATCAAGCTATTAATTACCTCGTAAAATGGTTGATGACGTGGTGACGGAGGTGAAGGGTGGTGCTTGATTGCATAATGGAGGTTTAATGGTCTACACGAGCCTCTGTTTAGCACGTCTTTAGGCGGATACTTAACGAAACAATTGGAGCTGGCCATCACGTGGTCTTTGCGACACAATGTTGTAAGGAGCACTCCTTTGGTTTGTGATTCTTGAAAAAGGGTTGGAATTGGAGAAAAAGGATATTGGCCTACTGTTTCTGAACCTAGGCCCAAACCTAGACCCAAACCTAGGCCCGTGATACAATTAAGACATGGTAAATATTTGGTATTCGCAGCTTCTCTCGCGATTCAGAGATTCAGGATATTCTGAGCATGCCATGCATACTAGAAATACCAAGGAATACCATACAACACTGTACAATGTTCAGTCTATATTTGCAGTCAGTAATTTTACATTAATTTAAGAATGTCTTGGTTTAATCAAATTCATTAAGGCGAGGTGTCTGTACAATCATATTAGATACCAATTAAACTCCTGAGATTTGTCGCCGACAGCAATCGCTTGAAAGACTTTTCAAATTCAATAAGATCCTGTAGGCTACAAAGTATGTGCTTATTTCTTTCACAAATGGGCTTAAAATGGATTTGAAAATGAAGTCTCGTCTACATTGCGTTTATATCAGGCATAAGCCATGATTTGTGCAAAACGCCAAAGCTTTTCCGTCAATCCTAGTGGCTAGCCTCAGTTGGGCAGAACAGATTAACATTAAATAAGTTTGCATAATAGTGATTATTATGCAGGTGAAAAATGAGGATAGATAACAATAAACTGTAAAAATCATGTTTACAAGTTTCCTCTGTACACTTTCTCTAATCTGAAGTAACATAACTACTCACAGTGCACTTGTTGGGTTTTTCTCCGCTGTGAACCCTCATATGAATCAGCAGCTTGTACCTCGCGTTAAAGGGCTTTGTTCTCCGGCAACAGTTAGCCCAGAAGCAAGTGAACTCGTCTCCCTTCTTCTGATCAACGTGAACCTGAATAGTTTTACTATTGATCAGTCATGTTCATCACAGCCGTTTTTTGAAGGTTCATACCCTCTAAACCTTTCAATATAAAATCATGTTGCCCACGTGATCACGCGCCCCTGTCATGGCTCTGCCCACCATCAACCATGCAGTCTCACCAGCCACACTGAGGTTTGCACCTGTCGTAGCTCACTCGGTGGTGTACCACTTTTCTCGCATTCTTCAGCAACTGATAATGAAGGCTCGCCCCTGACATCGTGAGAGCAACCCTTTTAACTGCAGCTCCACAATGTCCAATCTTCACAGCCCTATTTTTTCCATTATCAACACCCCACAACTTCAACACACCGCGTGAAGTAAATCAGAATCATGTTATCCACTCCCCGCGGCCCCCTTACGCCACCTACTCCAGACGGCTCACCAGTGTCAACCTACCTTTTCAATGTGGCGGACGAACTGCTCCTGTGAGTTGAAGGGCCGCTCACACCCGCTCCATCTGCACCGGAACTTGTCCCCCGAGCTGTAGCGCTTGTTACACGGCTGGTCCTCTGCAATGTACGTGCTGCTGTCTGCCTCTGTTATCTGGAGGAGGGGGTTGGTGAGTGAGGGGAGTTTAATTTAGAAGGAAATTAGAAGGATTGGAGGGGGTTGGTGAGGAGGGGAGTTTAATTTAGAAGGAAATTAGAAGGATTGGAGGGGGTTGGTGAGTGAGGGGAGTTTAATTTAGAAGGAAATTAGAAGGATTTTTCTCATTTCTGTCAATCGATCAGCTGCATAAATTTTATTAATTATCGGTGATTTTTTAAAGTATGCTGTTCTCGCCTGTCCACAATAAAAATTGTACAATAAAAATTTGATGAGTAAAGCTTGTGAATGATCCTGGTAGGGGTAAGCAGTGGATTAGAGGGGCAAGACACAATGGTTAATCAAATGGTTATTCAAGATACCGGGTGTGGCCCGATAATCTGGGATCTTATTATCCGTGTAATTCATTTTATGATAGGATATCACTAATGGTAAACATGCAGGACCGCATGATTTTCATTTCTTAAACCACTCTAATGAACTCCCATGAAATGTGAACTGTCACATGTTTCTGACAAAATAACAACAATCCAGGTAGCAGCAGGTGACAGTGGAAATATAAAGTTCAGATCTAGGACTGCCTAAAATTCTTTAAAAACTTTAAAAACCGTCAATCTCATCAACTTCTGTTTGAAAGGGTTAGGTACTCTTAGCTACCAAAAGTTAAAATGTAGCATATTTTAACTTTTGATTGCTTAACACAATGGCCTATCAATGATTATTGATCAGCACTCTGAGACTAACCAAGCTGTTAACCAACAACCCAATTAGTTACCCCGATAATTAATAACCCACTCAAGTTCACCCCTAATCAAGCTAGTTTTACAACCTCGAGTACTGACCAAGAGAGGTGAGTACCTCAAGTACCTCGCACGGCTGATTGACAGATGGGACAAGCCCTGCTTGCTAAGTGCAGTGTTTGACCTAACACCAAGCACAAGACCCCGCTCCCCTGGTTAACGGCTCTTTAACCGAGGCTGTAACCACTGGTTACCGGGGCTGTTACCACTGGTTACTAACCAGCACAGCCATTGGCTGGCTCTTTAACCGTGCAATGGGGTGGTGTGCTGATTGATGTTAGCTAACTAAGTTTTGTCATGATTTGATTATTATAAGGGTGTTGAACTGTAGACTATTTCTCAGATGTTAACCAAGTAAGAGAGAATTCACCGATATTATTTTGATAAATTGTAGTGGTTAAACATTGTACAACTGTAGTGGTCACTAAAAACTCAACCTATCACCAGATGGCTAATGTGGTTGCCAGTACGGCAGCTATAGCTCATGATAGGCTATCATTGTAGCTAAAATAAACATCAAACCACAGTCTGATACTTGTCCATGAAATACCAAACCAACTGAACACAAGCTAATCGAATGGTGAGTTAATGAAAAATGTTACCCATATTAATTGATGAAAGTTAAGTGAGGTATGATTATTGATAATTATACGTGGCTACTATTACTTTACCTGTATATTATAAGAAGAGAAAGGTCGTTTGCGGTAGTTGGTCTCAACTGGGGCCTCTGTTGCTCCTGCCCCGTAGAAAGCGTTTGGAACTGACACCACTCTTCTGCAATTCTCGTCCTGAAACGATTCATCATGAAGCATACATTTTGTATTCACAAACATACATGATACATTTTGTATTCACAAACATACATAATACATTTTGTATTCACTGTGTATTGTGTACCGGGTAGCTCTATGTAGCACTTGTGATCATAGGAGAATCACCGAATGTAATACGTACAAAGTGTGGGAAATCAAAGAGAATACATTTCAAATAAACTACAAGACGGTGAAAAAGATTGCCTATTTGGCATATTAAAATAACCGATTAATTTTCCACTGACTTAATTTTCCACTGACTTATCGTTTAATTTTACGGCATAATATCGCTTTTCCAAAATGTAGCAACCAAAGTTTACAAACACGTACCCTGTCTTGAATATAAGGATACGTTTCATTCTGTTGCACTCCTAAACTCTGATCAGGAGACAGGAAAACAGTTGGACCCGGGTAACCACCAGGGACCCCTAGTCTGGTGACAGGGTCCATGGGGAGGGGGTAGGAGTGTGGAGCGGCATCTCCCAGGAAGTGGAAGAGAGCTGGTTCTGGATGCTGCTGAAGAGGGGTGTTAACTATTAACATGGGTTTGAAAGAAAAGTTCGTAAAGAGTTATTGCTTTTATGGTAGGGCTCTTGATTCCAGGCGGTATTCCAGAGATTACGAATCAAGGCACACAACTCAACTACATTGTCCCAAAATATTTCACAAAATACTGAAAATATAGGACATTAAACTAAAAAGTTCAAATAATTTGCGGAAAAGTAATATACAAAAATCGGCCCGAATATGAAGATAAGGTTAAAATTAAAAGATAACAATAAAGTTAAATTACGTGGTTGATATGCTGCTGAGTCCACAGATCTGTAGTTGAGGAAACCGTGTTGTCCTTCTCAACTTTACACTCTATCATGTTGTTTAGCTGATGTAGAATTTGTAAACTACTCTATAAGGATGACAAAGTTTGATGTTTAATTGCACTATCAATGTCTGACTAAGTGTAAAGCAATTAAAATCTGAAATCAAAATTGTCAAACAATCAAACAATGAAGGACTCACAAAGAAGGGATATAGAAATACAGCTTAACGTTGGCTCAACAAGAAATAAAATGGGTATACAAATTCAATAAATAAAAAACAAGGGAATTCGATGAAAACAAAGTAAAAATCACCACACGTTCTGTGAATTGTATTTTGAAAATATGAAGCCAGCCGTAGGACGTAATTTTGAAATTAACAAAAAAAAACAGCCCAAGTTTAATTGCAATTTATAAACAACAACAACAAGATACAAGGGCAGGTCTCTCCCGAACGTTGGGATGGCCTGAGGTGCTTATTTCCTTTTCAGTAACCCTAAGCCACTCTGTGCCGAGGCACTATACTATCTGTAGGGGGGTTAGTCCTACGAGCCAGAGAGTGTGTATCACCAGCCGAAGCTGTACCAAATCACAGCTTGGTAACTGGCCGACTTGCATCCGACCGGATTTGAACCCGGGTCTTCTGCGTGGGAGGCGATCGTGTTACCACTACACCACCCGGCCGACAATTTATAAACACCGCCACTTAACTGTAACAACCAAACCTTTTGTAATCGGTTCTAATTTTACGATACACAACCGACATGCAGTTAGTTCTGCACAAGCAGTCAACCATTCCGAAATCATCTAGCCATGTTCACAGCTCAGCTACACTTCTACCCCCAGTGATGTGGCTGAGCAGCAGGGGGTCAATACAATACTGGACAAAATCGGCAACACATTACACGGAATAAGCTGACAATTGCTTATTGTGAGTTTTTATGAAATTGTTTCGAACAAAATATGTGATGATCGGTATCGTTTTTTTTCTCGTGTTCGGTGGCAAGGATGAAGGTAACAATTATAAGGATATGCGAACAACATGACTACATTACAAACATCTGCATCGGACACCAACTCCGCACTGGCGACCCTCTCCAAGCAGAACTATAATCTACGAAACATGCACTAGTTATCTAATAGGGGATCTACCAATCAGACCACCCATGCAGCCCACGTGACATGTCGTACATGGCACATGATAATTTGGCAGATATAAACGTGCGTGTCACGTGATGTCATGGCAACGTAACGCGCGTGATCACGTGATATTAGACACACATGTCCGATCAAGGCAGACAGATACTGAGGTAAAAGTGCGATTTTTCTGATCTTAAAGGATTAGATAAGTGGTTGAAACATGCAGCAAATTACAGCTGTTGCAGATAGCACTCCTACCGGCAACACCCATATTGATCCAGGGTCCAGATTCAAAAAGTCTGGTGATTGTCGAACAGAAATTTTGTATCCTGAAAAAAAAACAACAGAGAAATCAAGCTTTATTGAAGAATTGGTAATCATTAATTTGTTTAATTTCACTTGCTCCTATTCAACGTTCATGATTAGACCGACTTACTGAAAGAGAATTTAGATAGTAGATGTTTACTGTTTAGGTGCTTGAAGGTGAAGTGTCTAAAGAAGGTGTGAGATTCCTCTCCACTTCGTAATTGAATGCATGTAACAGTATTCATTATACTTGCTGCTATTCATTATGCACAGTTGAAAGGGGCAACCGATTCTTTTGGAATGTTGCGAAACATCAAATGTTTGACTGCTTAATGCAAACTGAATTATCTACCCGCTTATAAGCATACCAACTCCCGAATCCCCCATCCCCGCTCATCCATCGTTCTCACGGTGGCCACGGCTGCTTTTGGAATGACAGAGCAGCTCCTAAATTGTCACAAGACTGCCAAATTTTATGCCGTGCCCCACTCAAGAGACCCTGGAAAAAGTCGCTGTTGTTTTAATTGCAAATCGTATTTTGCAGTTCGCAAAATACGAATAGCACCATTTAGATGTAACATGCCAGTTGTGCTTCCAAATATTTGATTATTAAGGCTTTTTGCCGCTCTTGTAGACGAATATGGATATGGTATTATACAGCGAACAGTCATTCTATGCGGCTAGGAGCTGTAGTAAGTAGCCGCTCATTGTTACAATTCTTAACTCTAATTGCAGGCGTACCTCGGTGGATGTATACAGTTGCTTCTTTGAATCTTATTTGAGTTTGAAGCCCCAGTACCTACTTTGATATTACTGGAATTGATTCTAAACGTTTTAATTGTGATGGGTGAAAGTTTGAGTGATGATTATAATATCACCAATATAATTTCTTTTTATTTTAACTTGCGGAACTGAACAAACTGTATCTTTAACCATTTAAAATTTCTGATTTTGAAATTATATTTTTCGACGGTTTAGAAAAGTACACGTATCTCTGATGAGATGAACGCATGTTCAGTGAGCCTTCTGTTGTCAATCTTCCTAGCTCTTGTTTCAGGTATTATAACAATAATTTGTTTAATACATAGCTTGGTTCACTATCTTACCAACATTTGGATATGTACTGAGAAAGTATTCCTCATGATCATAATGCCAAACAGTATTTGGATATTCCTAACCCGCTTTACCTATTTCAGTTGCTAACGTTTCCTTCACTGACGAAAAAGAAAACGAATCAGCCTTATCAGTATCTGGAATGAGTGTAGAAACAGCAGTGGCTGCGTTAGAGGAAAATAACATTGTTGAAGTTGTCAGGGCACGGAATGGTAAACAGGAGAAAAAAGATCGTAGACCAAATTCAAAATGGTTTAAAAACAGATTTAGAGATTACTAGGATTTAAATTTTAATGATAATATACATTATGACTTGCTTTTTTATTACTGTGCATTGTGCAATAAAATCAAATTTTTGTTTTTTTCATAAAATCATTTTTCCACGTTCTAGATCAATGATTTTCATCATTTCTTTGTTCAATGGTAAGGTAACAACAGAAAGTGAATTATTTAATCTCCTTCTCAGATTAACCATATTAAAAGTGGAAGGTGGTCCATTTCCAATAAGCACGGAAAGTTGCTCGACCAGGAAACTAATGAACATAAATGCTTAAACGTGATTACCAGGGTAATTAAAGGTAATTAAATCATAATTACCAGGATAATTAAATCATAATTACCAGGATAATTAAATCATAATTACCAGCAATATCATAACACCTCTAATTACTGATCATCATGCTTAACTATTTAATCAGGACAAAAAACCAATGAAATCCTTTGTTTATATCTGAAGATTAAGATAATGAGGACTTATGATCATAATATATAAACCTGATTTAAGCAAATTAAAAAGACAGATGCACTTGGTTCACTGGTCTGCTAACTCCTTCCGACCCGCCTTTTCTTGTATAGCAGTTTGGTCCAACCTATAAGTATATGAATATCCTTGAAAATATCAAAGACAATCCGGTTAAAAGTTTATAAACTTTTAACCGGATTGTATAAATACACAGTAGTAGTAGTAGTAGTAAATCTTTCAAAGTACGAAATATCTCTTTAAAAGAGCATCCTAGGCACCTTATAGATATCAAAACGCATAAAAAAGAAAACAAAAACATCAACCATCTTCTAACTTCTTCCACTCCTCCCTATCTAAAGCTAAAAATCTAAGGTCTTCGAAATCAGTCAAATTCTTAAGTCTAATATCAAGATTTCTACTAGTCAAGTCTTTTCTAATAACATCTAATAAGTTTAAACATGGTCTACATACACAGTTAGTTATGTAAATCTTCAGTTTTTTTAATTAACAGCTCCTGCTCCTGTGAACATAAACAGAGCACTACTATTACCAGGGGCCACTGTACGGCTAGCAACAATGGTATTGCTATTGATCTACCAACCTACCAACCTACTGTCAGATCGTGTATGATTCAGTTTGGCAGTAGTTATTATTCCAAGCGATTGGCGTTAATATTGGTAACTGGTCAGGTCATTTTTAATGAAAATCTTAATTTTTTAGCTCTTCATTCTAAAATTCAGATCAGAAATAGAAAGGCATATTTATTTGTAGTCGTTAATGATTTCCTTCCACCTTCCTTCCATCAATTATGCTTTTGATCGATTTGTTTTTTGTGGTTTGTTGCATTTCATCAAGATTCTCTATCGTAGTTATTCCTTTGTCATAACCGTAAATCCATAATTAATGATAATGGTTGATACCGTTGCATGACGTGAGGATGACGTGCGGATGACGTACGGGATTGATATGGCTCCCATGGATATTCTCGATCACATAGGTTTGTTTTATTCCAAAGTTTTTTGTAGCGACAGCCAGAAACACCTCACCGTATAAAATATATTAGTTAATAGGGCTGTAATTAGCAAGTCTATCAATGCAATCCGAAGAAGATGGTCGACGATCGAGCCTCGATGGATAACAGTTTATCGCCGCCTTGATACCCTTGCAATTGCCCAATGATCTATTTTTTGTCATAGTACGATAAATATCGCCAGTTACCGTAATTGCCATAATGTAACAGACCAATCGTGACTGTTTGTCAGTGATAAATCGTTTACCAGTAACCAAACGTCCATCATGAACATTGGGGCCGTGTGTTAATCGATATCTACCCAGTCAATGGAGGCGACAATGCCAACTCCTTGTGGTTCCTAGCTTGTACGGTTTCGAATGTACCCCCTCCGGCAACGTCTGATAATTCCTATCTGGAAGCCTGTCCTGGTGAAAAGACACTGCCACCACGAATCTTCGCAGTAGCATCTATCATTTGTGGTACCACTTCATGCAGTTGCATCTCCTTTCACCCTAAATGAGCAACTGATCGTCCTTGATATCGGTAGGCACTGGACAGTGCTAAGTCGTTTTATAAACCCTAAATCCTGTCTGCAGTAGTGCAGTCTGGTTCTACCTGACGGCAAGTCCCCGCCATTCTGGCGTCGAGTAGGTCTCCGCATGTCCCGAGCAGGTTGCAGCCACACTGGCGTCGAGTACCCTAGCGAATAGGATCACTCCTAATCTGGTATCACTCCACGTACAGATTT